TTTACAGGCTTTTAGGAAGGGGGGGGGGGTTAAAAAATCGTTCTCTAGGAAATTACCCAATCATTTCTATATTATATATTGAATGATTTGAAAACTATTCTCTTATATTAAAAAATCATATTTCGATTCAATTTCTCAACAAATGATTTCTTCAGGGTGTCCAAGAAGAGGACAAGAGATGAAAACCTAACAGTGACGAGAAGTAAGAAACTCAGTCTATCCCTTCTGCCGGATGAGCTGTGGCTAGACAAGTATAAACCGGTTTCTGCCGATCAACTCTCAGTTCAACCAAAGAAAGTAAAATCTTTTTTTTATACTTGTTTATTCAAACTTTGTAATATCGGTTTGTTTGTTTAATGGATGGCCGATTAGCCTCAAATTTTTATTCCAGGGGATACTTGAGAACACCAAGGGCATGTTTAGGTAGTTTGGTTTTAACGTTTTAAGTCAAGTGGGATAACTTTTGTAGCGAAAGTCTAGTTTCCAGCTAAAGCTGGGTTCCAAAGCTTATTATTTGTAAATTCAAATTTTTCAAATAAAAAGAATTGCAGATGTGATGATAACAATATTACGGTCTATAATTGAAAGCAATGCCTGCCCGAATGCTCAAGAATATTGAATTTGATTGAATATTAAGGTTGAAGAGGTGAGAGCATGGCTGACAACACATTTACACAGTGGAGGAATCCTACTTCTTACAGGTTATCTTCTAATGTTATTATTATTTCTGTAAAACATGGGAAAGCTTTTGGGGATTGAATTTAGATTTTACCTTCCAGATTTTCATATCTTCAAACTTGTTCATTTTCTAAATATATAAAAGAATTTCTTGAAGTTTTTCCTCTACTCTCCTTTCTCTAAACCAATTAACTCAGAAAAAAAAGTTTGTGCATTTCTACTACAGGAAAAAATATGGGGTAATTATAGAATTAAACAATTTTCAAGTAGAAAAAATATGTTTATATCTTACACATTTTTTATCAGATAAATGCTTTAAGGGTAGCGTTGGGAATCACGGATGTTCCTTTGTAAATGATGGGTCACTTGAAATTACACCTACATTCCCTTTAAATGATTCAACAACGATTTAACTCTGCTTTCAGGTCCCTCGGGCTGCGGAAAGACTGCAGTTGTTAATCACCTCGCCTCGGAATTAAATCTTGCCATCCAGGTAATGAGGATTTTATAAATAAAAATATAGAACCATTTCACGCCGCCCTTTTTTATTGTTAAAGTTATCAAATTATTATATCAACAGAACTAATTTTTTTGTAAGTTTTATGGAAATTGTGAAATCGTGATTTTTTTTGTTTTCAAAGGAACAATTCCTACAATCATATTATTTTACTCATAAAGGGCTACAGAGACGATTGAACGAAATTATACGCCGTTTCCTTATTCATTCACTGCAACTGTAAACTTTTTTTTTCCTACAACAACATTATTTTAAAAGGAGATTCCAGAAATTAACCTTGATATCGTCTATTTTATGAATTGTTAAGGAATGGATAACTCCTATAGACCAGGTGGACTATAACGCTGATTCAAGGTAAAAACTATCATAATGCTTTATTATTCATTCACAGGGATATTTATTGACTTGTTACAGATTAGTCCTAGATGAACCCTTGGATGAAGACGTTCGTCCTGAGAATTCATATTAATTATACCATTTTTTATAGATCCATCCTGGAGAGTGTATATATCCACGATGATACAACACGATTTAATTCTCAAACCCAACTATTTAAAGATTGGTTGAAGGCTGCTAAATTCCCAGTTTTTGGTAAGTTGGACTTTTATATTATATTATAAGGTAAATTCTAATGAATGGAAAAAACCGAAAGGAAACCTCATTATTATTTGAATTATTGAGAATAGATTTTTTTTTAAATCCCGAGAAAACTTCTTTAATGTTTAGGGGAAGAAGATGTTAGAAAGTTGGTTCTTCTGGAGGATTTTCCCAGTTTTGCAACCAGGAACCCAAAAGATTTCCAGGTACACCTGTTAATTACTATTTCACCCAAATATTTGTGAATTTTTGAATTGGTGCTAATGTGGAGCCCCTGATATGCATACTGCAGTACTGCGTGTACTGTAGCCTGATTCTTGAACAATCCCCCTTACTATATAAACTCATTGTATATTATATGAAATACAGTATTCTTCGGTAGCTTGTCTTGTTCACTTTACAGTAGTTCTACACTAGCTTCATTAAAGAATTGCAAGCTGCAGTAAAAGTTGCTAACTTAATATAAAACTTGCATAGTCGTAATAAAATTTGCAAGCTTATTTATGATAAGTAAATACACAAAGAATAATCATATGATAAGTAAAATACATGAAGAATAATCATATGATAAGTAAAATACATGAAGAATAATCATGCTTCATTTAAGATAACATTTTCACGCTCTATTTAATATTTGTGAGCTCTTTTTAAGATGCTCGTGCAAAATTCAAGCTTCAATAGCTGTATGGATACAAGTAAATATTATTCAATCTCCAATTTCTTAAGTATTTATTAAAGTTTTTTAAGATCCTGCCAATGTTGAAATGATGAAACTTAACTTCTTCCTTTCCTCCAACCCTCTTTCCTTTCCTAAGACCCTACTTTCTTCCCTCTCCTTTCTACTTTCTTTTTACCTTCTTTTCCCCTTAACAATATCCTCTAATGCAGGAGATCCTGACTAACTACAGTAGGGGGAAGATGAACCCGCCTATGGTAGTTGTGTGTAGTGAGGACTCAGGGTGGAAGGATTCAGTTCTTAAACTTGTTTTCAACCTAGAATTTACAACTAAAGCAGGTATTGAGTACTTATTAAAGAAATTTTATAGAATCCAACTCCCTCTTTCACAAAATCTTTTCTTCTGTCAGATGTTAGGTATTTTCTGAAGTTTTTATTCACAAATGAAAAAGATTTAAAAATTTGCCTTATAATGCGCAACTAACACACCTGTGGTATCTGCTTTGGTCAAGAGAGTCCTCCTAGATGAGTCCAGGCGAAGGTCACTTCTAGAATAGGAACACTGGAAGCAAGGAGAAGAGCTGCCTTGTCTCGTACGAGCAGAAGGAGCTCGAACATGCACAGGACCGGCCACCAAAGAAAGAGAGAGAAAGAACAAGGATCCAGGAAAAACAGGATCCAGAAGATAATACAGTGAAAAAACAGGAACCCTTTAGGATCTTCTTCTTTGGCATATATCTGGAAAAGGACACATACTTACTTGATCCTTGTGGTGTGATTCCAAGAACTCCAGGTAGAAGTATTATAGGAATATCTGATGAGCCACTGGCTGGATAGTATCACCTTTTTATCTTCTGACAATGGTCTAATTGTTGTGGGTATAAAGGTCCAGTTAGAGTAGGTGTGGGACGGTGCTTCCCATGCCTGCCGGCGGTCTGGGGGGTTCATAACGGGACCTCTTTTTCAGATTTCTTTTCTAATAGTTCTAATAGTTCCAGTCCTCCAGAGTAGTGTTCAGATCATCCTGGTTCTCTTGGGTTTTCAGCAAACTCCAAATACTACTCAAATACACAAGTAAAGTTTAGTTGAGCATTTCGTCAAGATAAGATTTAAAAATTGACAAGGTTCTAGAGTCCTTGACCTCTGATGGGAGTCCATTCCATATAGCTACGACTCTGTTAGTAAAAAAGTTGGATCTTATGTCATTTTAGACCTGGCTGCTACAAGGTTTCCATGGTATTGCTATGTTTCTGGTTATTCTTTGTGGCTCCTGCCCAACCAATGGAAACCATGTTTTGCTGCCAACATCATCAATTCCTTTCAGAAATTAGAAAACTGAATAAAATCAGCTCTGATTCTTCTATTAGCCAGGGATGATATACCTAACTGCCTAAGTTTGTCTTCGTAGGTTACTCCCTTTAGGCCTGTGATGTAATTAGCTGCTCTCCTTTGAACCTTCTCAAGAGTTTCAATGTCGCCAAGGTGCCAGGGTTACTAGACTGGAGATGCAAACTCTAAGTGGCAGCTGACAAACTGAACATAAAGTTTCAAGAATGTATATCTATCCCTTTACTCTGGTATTTTGCAATAACACAACCATTGCTTTCTTTGCTGCTTCAGCACATTGTAGGGAAGGTTTTCCACTATCTCACCAATATCCCTTTCTTGATCTACAGATACGAGTAAAGATCCATTCATATAAAATTCAAACTCCTTGTTTTTCTGACCCAAGTGTAAGACCTTGCACTTGTTAACATTGAACTCCAGCTAGAGACAAGACATAACAGAGATGAAAGAGCATGGACAAGGTAAAGATCACAATAGTATAAAGACTAGCGGTACCATTCTGGAGGTGGAGATAGGAGGATAAAAGAACCTATAGATATAGGATCTCTGAGTGGGGTGGCGATGTCTATTTGTGAAAAATATTTTTTCCAGAGCATCAAAAGTAATTGCGATCCAGGGGTAATTTTTCAAAATATTATACCTCTGGAGATTAAATTATTTATTAAAGGGGGGGGGGGGTAATATTTCATGAAAATATACGCCCCTGTTATTTTGTGAAGGTTTGAGCACGATCTCCTTCAACCCTGCCACTACGACGAACCTGGTGAAGATGTTGACAAGACTGGTGACAGAGGAGACTAAGAATAAAAACAAATCTTTAAAGGTAAACTTTAGATGGTTTCTTAACAATTCCCAACCTTACTCTCTCTCATTAGAACTTCATCATTTTCTCCTAAATGTATTTCGCCAACCACTTGGGCATCATCAGGAGTTCGTCCTATAATATTACAGATATAAGTAAGGTTGGCATAAAAAACAGTCCCAAAGAAAACCACTCCAAAAAACCTTCTATGCTGGGGTTTAAAAAAACGGATATCTACCAACAAACAAAGAAAAAAAAAGTAAATTTTGTTAACTTTACAATTAGGAATTTGTCAAATGAATAATTTACTCTTGAACTGGGACCAATAATACTATGGAATAGGAAGACAATATAATAGTATGTCCATTTGGTGTTGTCATACAGCGATTTGGTTCATCAGTAGCTTGAAAATCGGGTTTATAAATGTGATTGATCTTCGTGCAATGTACAATGTACATGACTCAATTGACGTGTTTCATTTTCCAGGGACTTCTTAAATCAAAACTCGAGTCTAACAGTCCTTTTCCGAGCCCATAGTTTTATGGGTACCATTGTACCTTACTTGTCTCAATATAAAGCAAATTTTACTTAATTGTCTATGCTGTTTGCGATGGATGTAACCTTATGATTATCAAATCAAATCATGATTGACCTTTTTATGAAACGTTAAAAAATTTCGGAAAGTCTTGACCTTACGTGATTTTTATTATTTTACCTTTTATAAAGTACAAAAATATTTCCTTTCAGATTCCCGACAAAACATCCTTAGAATCGTTGGTTGAATCTTCTAACTGTGATATTCGAGCTTGTATCAACGCCCTCCAATTCTCGTGTGTACAGAATATTAGTGATTTCTCATCACTATTCCAGTCAGACGAAACTCAAAGCACCACCAAGAAATCCAAAAAAGGTTCCGGCAAAAATTCCGCCAAAAGTCAGTCTTCAGTCGGTGCCAAGGACCAAAGTTTAATTTTGTTTCACGCTCTGGGTAAAATACTTTACGCGAAACGAGAGACAACGCCAGAAAAGGAGCATTTACCTCCACATTTAGGGACTAAGCTTAATTTTGAAGAGAAAAATGTTATTTAAAATATGTTACAACTTTTTTTTGACTATTTACTTAGGAAATTTTACATAAAGAAAATCTACAATTTTTAAGTTCTCACATTTTTTGTTGTAAAATATTCGCTGATACATACAATATTTGTTAACTTTTTTTCGGGTGGGGGGTTTACAACATTATAATTGATGTTTTAAAAATAATTTCTCTTAACAGAAAAGCACAGACGAAATTCATTACAAGCAGTTCCCGAGGATGTTTATTCCAAAACTGCAATAAGGAATCAAATTTATTTGAATGTTTTACGGGACTGTAAACCTAACTTCAAGTGTGACCCTCCAATGCATAGTGTGGCATGTCTGATTCTAAACGGTACCCTATCAAGCTATTTCTAAACAAGTTTTGTTTAAATATTGGTATGTTTTTTTCAAACTAATAATTTTCGTTATTGTTTCTCTATTAAAGCGAATAGTACATTTCTTGCTGCAAGAACTGAAGAAAACTTATCAGGACTAACTACTTCTGAAGAAAAAAACCGAAGTTGTCTTCCACATTATTGATTGGGTTAATGGTTCAGGGATATCGTACTGTTGTGAATCAGACCTGCCCCTCTTTTTTAAATCAAGAGTACCTTGAAAGAAACAGCAATTAGGAATCAAATTTATTTCACCACATGTTTAATGTTTATTTCTTGGGCTTTGAATATGTGAAATATAACGAAATATACAGTTAGACTGCAGTGGGACCATTAAAACTCTGGAATAAGAGACGAATGCTAGATTCAAGTACGGTGAACATGAATCACAGCAATTTTGCAGTGTACATGAAAGGGAGTGTTCGCGAAAAATGAAGGGGTATAGACTATCGAATTTTTTTTGGACGCATTCGTAAAAAGTTAAAATTTCATAATTTTTTTGATTTTTTTAATAATATCTCGCTTACAACTTGTTTTTTACGGCTGGCGCTGGATTTTCGAACATTCCCGGAAAGTAAGAAAATGTCGTCTTCATATTAAAAAATTCTGGACACTGGAGTAAATAATAATTTCAAGAGCAACTCTCAGATCATAAAAAAAAATATTTTGAAATGCCAACTATCTACGAACGCTTCGAAAAATTATCGATGATTATAGGTTGTAATATCTGAATGATTTGTTTGGAACTAAATTGATTTTTTACGATCCTAGTCTAATATTGTGACTTTCTGAATTTGTATGGACGTTCTTCGGTATGAGCCGTCTTTAACAGTAAGAGTAGTAGCGATCACCATCGATGATTTATCGACGTAAGTCTATGCCCCTTTTTATTTTTCGCAAACACTCCCTTTAATGTAAAATTATATGTTTTAAACAACATCCAATTGCTTAAATGTCGTGTTCTCATTCCACAGTTTTTTTGGGTCCAACTGCTTCTATAAAAACATTGAATAAAATTTTAAATAGAAGCGATAAATTCAGCCCTTAGTTCGTGAACACTCCCTTACATGTTAAATAAATATTTGATTATTAGTGAGGAGGGATTTACTTGCTTTCTTCATCATAACTTTCCAGCGTTTTATTCAGACATTCACGATGCTGCAGCATTGAGTTCATACCTTAGGTAGGCAGAGATAAATATTTAATAATTTTTGGAACCCTCCCCCTCCCTCTGTAGGGGTGGGGGAGCAATATAAACCCTTCTAAGCTTTTTTAACATGGGGGGGGGATATTTATTAAATGTTAAAATGATTATCAGATTACGTTCAACAACTGGAAGAAAAATATGACATGTTCCCTAATTTAGTGAAAGTGACCTGCTTTTGCGTGAATGGGGTAGCACTGGTAAAATGGATGTGAAGGAATACGGTGTGAGTCTAGCTTCCAGAGCAACCATGTTCTTTAATCAGGTCAGGAACTTGATTTAGTTTAATGGTTTCTTCTATTCTTAAATCAGGTCGGGAACTTGATTTAGTTTAGTGGTTTCTTCTATTCTTTAATCAGGTTGGGAACTTGATTTAGTTTAGTGGTTTCTTCTATTCTTTNCACTATTCTCTCTTACTAGGTCGGGAACTTGATTTTGTTTAGTGGTTTCTTCTATTCTTTTATTTTATGTATTTCTAATTGATTTGCATACTTAACTTGTCTGTTGTCTTGTCAAAACGGCTAAACCGATCGGGCTGACATTTTCCCCAGGGAAGATGGTTAGAATTGAAAAAAATCTGTAAAAGAGCAGCCATTAAAGGTTAATGTGGAAACCTAGTTATCTTATTTTTCTTTTATTGGATTATTTTCGATCTTAAACTTCAAAATACCAAAGGATTACATTTCCATATGTACATTGCAGTCCCTATAATGCAAATTTTTCGAGAACATGTTTTTTTAACATTTTTTTTAGCATCAGGCGAAAGTAACTGGGCGACGGACGTTGACTAAACCTCAACTGTACTCGGTCAACAGGACCATTGACTCAAATCTAACCAGGTAGGATTAAAGTTATAACTTACGAAACCCAGTGCTTAGGATTCGGATCGGTGGATCTGCAACAGTTTGGCGTCCTGGATCCAGATCCGCAAAAATATGTGGATCCACTGAAAGTTGATATTCAGTCCCTTGCAGAATATCAACTGAAAAATGTAAAAAAAAAAACTTTTTGCGCTTAAACCCTAAAACTGAAAATATTAAACATGTTCCTTATCTCTATATGGTTCATCGAATATTAGCATAAAAATAAGCGAAAAAAAGAAGAAATAATTTGAAAAATCTTTTTTTTAGTTTTAAAAAATCGATTAATCTTTAAGAAATGTTCATAACATGGATCCATTTTTTTTTAGGGCGGATCCAGGATCTGGATCCGGATCTACATTACAATTAAATGGATCCTAAGCACTATACGAAACCAAATTAAAATTACTTTTTGATTAGAAATCAAAATTAATTTTTCTTAAATATAAATGTAAAAAAAAGATTGTTTATATGAAAATATATTTGTATCACTTAATCAAGAATTAAACATTGCCACTCAACTATGTATAATATTTAGAGTCAAGAGTGCTCAGAGTTGTGTTTGTATTACTCATTTAAGAAGTAAACATTGCAACTCACCTATGTATAATATTTAGAGTCAAGAGTGCTCAGTGTGTTTGTATCACTCATTTAAGAAGTAAACATTGCCACAATTATATTTAGAGTCAAGAGTGCTCAGAGTGGTGTTTATATCACTCATCCAAGAAGTAAACATTGCCACTCAACTATGTTTAATATTTAGAGTCCAGAGTGCTCTGAGTGGGGTATTTATATCACTCATTCAAGAGGTATTCATTGCCACTCAACTATGTATAATATTTAGAGTTCAGAGTGCTTTGAGTGTAATTTATATTACTCAACCAAGAAGTAAACATTGTGCACTCAACTATGTATTATATTTAGAGTTCAGAGTGCTTTGAGTGTTGTTTATATTACTCAACCAAGAAGTAAACATTGTTCACTCAACTATGTATAATATTTAGAGTTCAGAGTGCCTTGAGTGGTATTTATATTACTCAACCAAGAAATGAACTCTACACCTCTACAGTTCCTCTGATTGCCAAACTGAAACCAAAACTTATACCTCAGCATAAACTGAATACTATTATAGGTAAACACACAACAATGTGAGGGTCTCTTCAAAGCAAAAATTTGATCCGAAACGAAAGTGCCCTGAAACAAATTCTGGGTAAATTATTTTGCTGTTTTATAAAACCCCTCATTTTTTCTCCTTGCAGCAGATTTCAAAGCTTGAAACTACCACATATGATAAAGATTTCTTGTTGAACCCCTCCCCCCCCCCCCCATTTGTATGCGTTTTTGTTCAATATTCCGTGAAAGAAACAATCTTAAATAATATGTAGTCTTGGTCATATATTTGTTAAATATTTAGAGGTTGGACGTATATCTGGTGTACCCCAGTGTATCCGGTCTATCAGTGGTTCTGAAGACCTGGAGATGTTTAGTGAAGATGATGACGAGTTAATGAACCTGCTGTGTAGTTTTGACCCAGCACAAGATATCACAGATATCAGGTCAGACCTCGATCCAAATCCGGATCCAGGTCATGAACATTTCTTAAAGGGAGTTACCGACTATGTAAGGTAATTGAACTTGTTGTGGAAAACTTCTTTCGGATTCATTTGAGAGATGTAAAACATTTTTAAGATCTGTAAATCCTGAGTTTGAGCGTAAATTCGATGTTCAAAATTCCTACTTGGGGTATGGATACGTTTTCAGAATCGATTTTTTTAACTTATTAAGTAACGACGACGAAAAATAATGTAAAAATTAAACAGTAGGTTGGGAACATATTTCTCAAAAGAAATTTGCCAATAAATCACTGCTAGAATCAATTATTTCGTTTTCATCATATTATGAATTTCTTATTTTCTTTGAATTTATTCGCAGATTTCTTCAAATTCTTCATATGTCGTCTTTTCAATAATAATTACAGAAAATCTTTGTGAAAAATGAGAGACCAGAATAACGAGAAAATAGAAACTAATAATTGAACGAGATTACTTACTTTTGATATAAGATTGATTTTTATTTTCTCAACCGGTTCCTAAACAACTAATTAGTTTACTGTAAAGTTTTGTTTACATATTTTTGTAGTCGTTAATAATAATTTTAAAAAACGATTCTGTAAACTTATCCACCCCCAAAGTAGGAGTTTTGAATGTCGAATTTGCGCTCAAACTCAGGATTTATAGATTTTTTAAAAGTGTCATATGTCTCAAATGAATCCGAAAGAAGTTTTCTACAGCACTGCATACTCAGTTCAACTACCTTACATTGCCTGTCACTCCCTCAAAAAAGATTTTTTTAAACAGTGTAAGGATTTTCAAATTATTTTTGTTCTTATTTATGCTAAGACTTGATGAACTATTCAGAAGCATTTTTTAGGTGCAGTTGTATCTAGAGCAGAAGGAGATAAGGATGATGATGATGATTATACTATTGAAGACTTTGATGATTTTGATTAGTCTAAACTTGTGATTGGCAAATATTTCTGTGATACCGCCCATGTAGTATTTTTATCTGAATGCTCTGAAGATTTATTCCCTTAAGAATTTTCAGATCGAGATAAAAAAATGTTGTTAAAAGTGGAATTGTAGAAAATAAACAGAAAAAATGGCTCCAACAGGATCCTCCACAGAAAAGGTTTATTTATATTTCTAAGAGACATTATCAATATGGGTTGTATGTTGCTAAATTGGCGGGTTACCTATTTTTGAAGGCTTTTTAATATCTCCTCAACACTTAATTTGTATTACTAGCCTTAGAGGGCGCTTCGCGCCCATCTTCTAAATTAATTGTGAACATGTTCTCTTTGTGTACATCGTAAAACAAAACAAAACTAATTCGCGGATTTTCACAAAAAATTTCGTGGATTTTCAAAATTTTCAAAAATTTAACGAAGATCGAATTTTGATGGAGACAAATATTTGAAATTTTGATCATTCATAAATTTTCCCTGGGGTCCCTATATGTCCCACAAAAAATTTGGGCCCGATCGGTTCAGCCGTTTTGACGTTTATTGGATACAAACAAACAAACAGACAAGCCAAAATTATATATAGATGTATTACTTTAGGAATAATTTACTAACCTACTTACAAACTTACTCAAATTGTAAGGTTACAAAAATGGAAGTAACCAAATAATTTGTAAATAAATTTAGATACCAAAATTTTAGTTACCTAGTTTATTAATATTTTTGTTATTATTATCATTATCGATATAATAAAACAAGACATTCATATATATATGTATATGTTGCCTATAGCCGGCTAAACGGCCGGACCGATTGGGCTGTTATTTTTTTGTGGACACTCAGGGGAAGCCGGGGGAGGTTAGAGGCTAAAAAAAATTCAAATTTTTTTCATTTTTTTCCACGGGCAACGGCGAGCCCTATAGCTAGTTATTATTAATCTTATTCTTATTAATATCATTATCGTTATTGTTAATTTTTTATTATTGTATTATTATTATTATTGTATTAGTATTATTATTTTGTTATTATTATTAGTAGTTGTTGTTGCCGGTGCCGTTGCTGTTGCCGTTACCGTTGTCGCCATCTCCGTTATCGTTATTATTATATCGTTGTTGTCGTCGTCGTCGTCGTCGTTGTTGGAGTTGTTATAGTATCTATATAATAAAGCTCCTCGCCAATATATATATGTTAGATATATTGCTGGGCAAACTGCTTGACCACCAAATTGGCTGAATTTTTTAGGAAACCCAAAATATAAATTACGATTTTTTTCAAGTTCCACGGCCAACCCCGGGCACTTTAGCTAGTTATTATTATTGTTATTAATATAAATATTTTAGGTTAAGGTTTCCAACCTTCCCCTGCTCTTCTCTAAAGGATCCCCAACTAGTTTAGAGATGATGAATTTAGAACAGTGGTTTCTTCTATTCTTTTATTTTATGTATTTCTAATTGATTTGCATACTTAACTTGTCTGTTGTCTTGTCAAAACGGCTAAACCGATCGGGCTCAAACAACCAAACTTAGTCGAAATTTGTTTTAATTTAAGTTAAAAAATCTTACAAGATTTTGTTCTATTCAAATCCACATTTTTACGGACCGCTCCATGTCATAGGAGATGGTTGTTAGCTTTTGGAAGTTCTTAACGGTTAAAATTAGAATATAAACCTTAGATGGAAACTTTTTAATAGAAATAGTTTAACTCATTTCTCAGATTTTCCCTGTCAGACTAAATAGAGAAGTATAAAGGGAAAAAAGTTGTTATGTTGTCTATAGCTTTGAGTTTTAAACTTTTAAAAACATTATCTTTCCTAATTTCCTTTATATCTCTTATGGTCTTAATGCTACTTCATTATTTATTTATTTATATCTCCCATATTTGATTAGCTGACTCGCATACCTTCGTTTACTTCTCCCCAATTTGACTAGCTAACTCTTATACTTTGTATTTATCTGCCATATTTGACTAGCTAACTCGCTTACTTCCGTATATATCTCCCATATTTGACTAGCTAACTCTCTTACTTCCGTATATATCTCCCATATTTGATTATCTAACTCTTATTCTTTGTATTTATCTGCCATATTAGACTATCTAACTCGCTTACTTCCGTATATATCTCCCATATTTGATTATCTAACTCGCTTACTTCCGTATATATCTCCCATATTTGACTAGCTAACTCTTATACTTTGTATTTATCTGCCATATTAGACTATCTAACTCGCTTACTTCCGTATATATCTCCCATATTTGACTAGCTAACTCGCTTACTTCCGTATATATCTCCCATATTTGACTAGCTAACTCTCAAACTTCTTATATATCTCCCATATTAGACTAGCTTATAGCTATATCTCATATTTCCTTATATTTCTCCCATATTGTATTAGCTAACTCGCATACTTCCGTATACTTCTCCCATATTTTATGATCTATCTCTTATACTTTGTATATATCTCCCATATTTGACTAGCTAACTCGCATACTTCCGTATAATTCTCCCATATTTGACTAGCTAACTCTTACACTTTGTATTTATCTGCCATATTTGACTAGCTAACTCTCATTCTTCGTTACATATATCTCTCATATTAGACTAGCTAATAGCTATATCTCATACTTTCGTATATTTCTACCATATTTGACTAGCTAAATCTCTCATTTTGCGTATATATCTCCCTTTTTTCGACTAGCTATATCTCATACTTCCTTATATATTCCCCATATTTAACGAGCTGTATATCATACTTCGTATATTTCCCATTTTGACTAGCTAACTCCTACACTTCCTATTTATCTCCAATATTTGACTAGCTAATAGCTTTATCTCATACTTCCGTATATATCTCCCATATTTGACTAGCTAACTCTTATGCTTCGTATTTATCACCCATATTTGACTAGCTATATCTCATACTTTGTATATATCTTCCATATTTGACTAGCTAACTAGCTAATAGCTATATCTCATACTTCCGTATATATCTCCCATATTTGACCAGCTAACTGTTATACTTCGTATTTATCTCCAATATTTGATTAGGTTTATAATAGTAAAAATATCTCCTACTTGTATGACTAGCTAGCTATGGATAGTTCTTGTTTTAATATCGATTGTTTAGATTTGTTTTAAAATGTGAGATGAACAGTTGTGAACCCCCTGACCTGGATTCTCTGGACCGACCGGCTTGGTGGCCAGATGTAATATTTTATTATTTATTCATAAGTAGTTAAACTAGATACGGCCAGTTAAACTACTTCTTTTAATTGGCCGAGAGTGCACTAGTCACAGTTCAAGATTTTCGGATTTTTTATATCTGGAAAAAAAAATCCTTCTATATTCGCTTTTTTTGCTTTTTGCTGAAACTTTGTGAGCTATTCAGAAATTTGAAGATCTGTTGTTAATCCTTTGAAAGTGATTGAATTGCCGAGTAACTAAATATGAAGTTCATGGATCGTAATATTTGTTCATTGGATAATTTCAGAATATTATATATTGCTATCCAAGAAAGCAAGATGCAATTATTCACTGTGACGCGCAGTACCACTATTCTCTCTTACTGAAACTTTTTATTTTCGGCACGCAACAATAGTGGTACTCAACTACTCATTTTTAAGAAATACTCATGGTAGCTGTATTGTTTTCAAGGAAGTTTCAAGTCTCTTTTCAAAAGTTCAGATTTGGGTTTTGAGAGTAAACATTTTTTTCTTCAATTTTTAGTTGATATTTTGCCCCTTGGATCCAGATATGTGGATCTTCATGTTTTTGCGGATCCGGATCCAGGAAGCCAAAATCTTGCGGATACAACGGATCCTGATTTTAAGCACTGCTTATAATTATATTTTACCGTTTTGTTATTAAATTTAATTTACCCATATGATAACCTTTGATAAATATTATTTGAAGTCAATTTGATTTTTTATAATTATAAACAATAAACATTGTTTTTTTTTGTGTTTGTTAAGCTATGTGTAATGTGTATGGCCTGGGATCCTAAGCACGGATATACAGTGTTAAAAATGTCTAAAATATCTAAAAAATGTTTTTAAATATTTTGAAATTTTTTTTAGGATTTAACCTTTTCCGAGGATATTTTAGGATTTAACCTTTTCCGAGGATATTTTAGGATTTAACCTTTTCCATGGATATTTTAGGATTTAACCTTTTCCGAGGATATTTTACGGAAACAGAAAGAGCACCGACGGGTAGGATATTTTTTCAATTAAAAAACTGTTTTTTTTTAAACAAATTGTTATCTATATTTCTATTATGCCTTGCTTATAGCACGAATGCTACCAGATACCAACCCCTTCCTGCAATCCTCTGCCTCCTTTCTTATCATTTTTGTTACTATATTTTTAATTGTTATTGTTTTTTAATTTTTAATATTATTTAATTGATCTATTATTTTATTGAATATACTTGTATTTAGATTTTAAGTTTGCGATTGAAAAATGCGATTAGAAGATGTTACAAACATCATAAATGTAAGTTTAAATTTTTAAAACATTGAAAAACATACTTTTTAAAACTTTATTTGGGTACCGAATTTATGAATTTGAGCTACGTCGCTTAACTACCTACTGCCGGTTCAAATTTGAATCACTGATTCTAATTCAAGATTAAGGAAGAATCAGTGATTCAAATCTAAACCGACGGTAGGCTGTACAAAGTCCTTAAATTAGGCCCCAGAAGAAATTATTGATTGTGAAAGATTCAAATTTCACACATTGATATATATTGAAGTTTTTATAAGATCTGAAAAGATTAGGTAAGACCGTAAGATAGGACAAGATGAGACAAGATTGCACAAGATTAGAAAAGATAAGACACGATGAGACAAGATTGCACAAGATTAGATAAGATAAGACAAGATTGCACAAGATTAGAAAAGATAAGACAAGATGAGACAAGAATAAGACAAGATTAGACAAGATCGGGCAAGATAAGAAAAGATTTTACAAGATTAGACAAGATTAGACAAGATTGCACAAGATTTGACAAGGTTTAACAAGATTAGACAAGAATAGACAATATAAGACAGGATTGCACAAAATTGGGCAAGATTGCTCAAGATTGAAGATTGCACAAGATTGCAAAAGATTGCACAATATTGCACAAGATTCCACAAGATTGCACAAGATTGCACAAGATTGGACAAGAATAAGACAAGAATTAAGACAAGACAAGATTTGACATGATTATTGATTAGACAAGATTTGACAAGATCGCACAAGAATTGACAAAATTTGGCAAGATAAGACAAGATTTTACAAGATCCGACATAATTTGAGAGGTTGACCAAGATTAGACAAGATCAGACAAGATTAGTCAAGATTGAGCATGATAGGATAAAATTGGACAAGATTAGACAAGATTAGACAAGATTAGATAAAATAAGTTTAGACAGGAATAGGACTAAAGATAACACGATTGGATTTGGCGAGATAATGCCAGATTATACAAGATTTGGCGAGATAATGCCAGATTATACAAGATTTGCATGGCAATTAAGGCCAGATTTTACAAGTTTGGACAAGCTCAGGCAAGTTTAGACTTATGAGCGAAGTTGCTAAACTTTTTTAAGGAAATAAGTTTTTAATTGTTTAATTCATGTTTGTTTGTTTGTTTGTAGGCGAGTTTTTAGTTGAATTCTGTAGAAAACTAGTTGAATATACAGGAGGAGTAGAAAATCTTGAGGTAATAAAAATAAATATATCAGATCTTTTGAATTGGTTTGGATCTCTCCAAAAAGCATTAAGGCGACATTCATCATTTGTGGTTAAAGAGTTAAAGTTAATTCTTGTAAATATTGTTTAAAAGTACAAGTCATCTTTTTTTATACAGATTAAACATTAAATCGCTAATACAGAAGTTCCCGTGCAGTGTCTTATCAATTTCAATCTCTATTCATCATAGATTATCAACAGTTCATACTAAAGTCCTACTATAATTAATTGTTTTTATCTCTAATAATCATGTTATCTCTTTTACTATGAATCTTGTTATCTGTAACAATCTTGTTATTTGTGAAAATCCTGTTATCTCTAATAAACTTGTTATCTGTAATAATCTTATTATATCTTTTAATCTCGATATTTGTAATAATTTTGTTATCTCTATTAATCTTGTTATTTCTAATACATAATCTCTATGTTATCTCTAGGTTGTGGATAACAAGGATGGAACAAGATCTCTCCACAAAAAAAAGGATAAAAAACTCTTGGTCACCTTCCGTAGTGAAAACCAGGTAAAGAAAGTTATTTAGTCATTAGAAATGGTGATATACAGGGTGGCCAAAATGTACGGATTGTACAGGTAACCCTAAAATTGTACGGAATGTACGGATTGTACGGATTTTTTTTCATATTGTACGGATTGTACGGATTTTTATCCTGGATATAGACCGTTTTTTTATTTTCACTCATTTCAGCAAATTTTCTATGAAAATTTAAAAAAAAAAATTCTCGTCAAAATGAGGTTAGTTTAACTTATTTTCTGCATTCTAAATAATATTAGATTGATTAATGTTTCAATTGACAATTAAAATTCATTCATAATTTTCGAGATATGTCCCAGAAGTGTTCATTTGAGAATATGTTCCAGAAGTGTTCATTTGAGAATATGTTAATCTATCTGTCTATCTGTCTAGCTAACTGTCTAGCTATCTGTCTATCTATCTGTCTAACTATCTGTCTAGCTATCTGTCTAGCTATATGTCTAGCTATATGTCTAGCTATATTTCTAGCTATCTGTCTATCTATCTGCATGTCAGTTTATCTATCTTTTTATCTATCTGTTTATATATCCTATCTGTCTCTCTGTTTATCTATATGTGTATGTGTCTATCTGTTTCTCTGTCTATTTATCTGTCTATCTATCTGTCTGTCTGTTTATCTATTTATCTATCTGTCTCTTTATCAGATCTGAGAACATCCTCTCAGGTTTCTTCCGTTTATCTGTAAATCTTTTCATTTTTAGTTTAATATTAACTTTCTTTTCATTGAGTGTGCAACCACTGTACCACGCTAATTTTAATTATATTAGATCCTAAATCTACACTCCACTCTTTCTAATTATAACTTAATCGTTTGTTTGTTAAATGGCCTAATTCACACCGATCTAAACAGTTTTAAAAATTAGAATCAACGCTCTTTAGTTCTCTAGTTCTCTGGTTCTTGGTTCTCTGTTTCTCTGGTTCTCTGGTTCTCTGGTTCTCTGGTTCTCTGGTTCTCTGGTTCTCTGGTTCTCTGGTTCTCTGGTTCTCTCTCTGGTTCTCTGGTTATCTAGTTTTCTAGTTCTCTAGTTCTCTAGTTCTCTAGTTATCTAGTTCTCTATTATCTAGTTCTCTAGTTCTCTGGTTCTCTGGTTCTCTGATTCTCTCGTTCTCTCGTTCTCTAGTGTTCTAGTTCTCAAGTTCTCTAGTTCTCCAGCTCTCTAGTGTTTAATAATAATGTTTAAGTTTTTATATCTTTGCAACCTTATGTGGTAGACTTTTGTTATTATAAGCTGTGAATTCTGCCAGATTAATTAGGCTTCGTTTCAAAAACCAGTTGATCTTATTTTTTCTTATTTCCGGGTTCTCATCCAAAGCATTCAAAGACCTACAGTAGTTTTTACTACCATGAATATAGGTTGTTAGAGGGAACATCATTGGTTGCTGAGGGAAAGATGGGGGGGAGAAAGAGGTGGTGGGGAATGTGGGGGGTGAGACAGTGTTGAATAATATTTTCAAAAATGGTTTTATTTTTCTTAAATGTACAGATTGCAGGGATTTGTTCTAAAATCGTACTGATTGTATGGATTTTTAAAAAAATGTACGGATTTTTGCTAAAAAATGTACGGATTGTACGGATTTGTTTTTTGAAAATTGTATGGATTTTTTTTCAAAAATTGTGCGGATTTCTTCTGAAAATGTACGGATTTTTTCAAAAAAGTTTTGGCCACCCTTGATATAAGACGATTTAAGTTCCCAAATTTTGAATTGATAATCTATTCTAATATAAATCTGTTGATAGGAGTTGATCTTATTTTCTTTTATATTTGCCGTCTTGTTTCCTTTTTTCTGAACTGAAAAATTACATCACAAGCCATACCGAGACGGATCTATGTGAACCAACTATCCAACTAGCCAGCTAACCAACTAGTCAGCTAACAAACTAGCCAGCTAACCAACTAGCCAGCTAACCAACTAGCCAGCTAACCAACTATTCAGCTAACCAACTAGTCAGCTAACTATCTAGCCAGCTAACTAACTTGACTAGCCATCTAACCAACTAGCCAGCTAACCAACTAGTCAGCTAAACAACTGGCCAGCTAACCCAGCTAACCAACTAGTCAGCTAACCACTAGCCAGTTAACCCACTAGCCAGATAACCTACTAGCCAGCTAAGCAACTAGTCAGCTAAACAACTGGCCAGCTAACCATTTAGTCAGCTAAACAACTAGTCAGCTAACTAACTAGCCAGCTAGCCATCTAGCCAGCTAACAAACTAGCCAGCCTACCAACTAGTCAGCTAACTAATTAGCCAGCTAAATAACTAGCCAGCTAACCAACTAGTCAGCTAACCAACTAGCTAGCTAATCAACTTGCCAGCTAACTAACTAGTAAGCTAAATAACTAGCCAGCTAACAAACTTGCCAGCTACACATCTAGCCAGCTTACTAACTAGCCAGCTAACCAACTAGTCGGCTAACCACTAGCCAGTTAACCAACTAGCCAGCTAACCAACTAGCCATCTAACCAACTACCCAGCTAACCAACTAACCAGTTAACCAACTAGCCATCCAACCAACTAGTCAGCTAATCATTTAATCACCTAATAAACTATTCAGCAAAGTAATTTTCATCTTATTTTGTTCTAGGATTATGATAAACATCAGAATGTACGAAAACCAAAGCTCAATACATTTAGTGCCAAATCTCCTCTCAAAACCTTGGACTCAAAGTAAGTGAAAGTAAAATCCAAAGTTTTCTCTCTTTTTTAAAACCTTTTTTTCTAGAATAAATTTCAATTCAAAATAACTTGAAAACCCCATAAAAATACATTTTAAACAATATAGGCAGGAGACCCAGGGAGGGGGGGGGGGGGGTTTCAAGAAAGTATATAACTGGTGTGCAACTTTTTTGATTTTAAGTATCAAAGTATCATTATTATGACTTTAATTATTCAGGCGATTGCTGTGGAATAAGTCTGATAATACTAGTGACCCTGCTATGTCCACCTATGCTGATATTTACCTTTGTGATACTTGTGATAAGGATTTCGATTCTCTTCCAACCCTTATAGTAAGTATTTTGTGATTTTTCCTATTAGTAATTACGTATTTTTGATTCCTAGCAGTAAGTTAGTTTTTTGTTATTCCTAGTAGTAAGTAGTTATTTGTGATTCTTAGTTGTAATTAAGTATTTCTTGATGAATCCTTGTAGTAAGAGATTCATTGTGATACTTGGTAGCATATGGTTTATTTAAATTCCTGATTGCAAGTAGTTATTTGTTTTTTCTGTCAGTGAGCTGTAATCTTAGTAATCTTAGTCATTAGCTATAATCTTAGTGATTTTTAGTTTAAAGTAGTTCATTGTAATAATTCTTGCTAAAACAATTAGTTGGTTTTTTTTCCTAGTAGTAAGTATTTCTTTGCAATTTCTAGTAGTAAGTGATTCCTCGTAGTAAGTAGTAATTGATTTGATTTGCATTCTCTCTCGAAATCCACAAGCTACTAGACTGTTTATGAAAAAGCTGTGATTTTATTTTTTTTTAATATGTATCCAATCCATCATTGATATTAAGGCCAAGATTCGACTGGTACCATTTGAATAGGAAAATTTGAATAACACAAAGATTACAAATTACATTTCAAACAGATATTTATTTGTTAACAATCAATAAAATAGTAAAATCAGTAAAATGCGCGATTCTTGACAGAAAACTTCGCAACTTTTCTTTAAAATCGTTCAGTTGGCCAATAATCTATTGGCATGATCTTCTCAACTCAGGTTGGTTCAATCTAAGAAGGAATATTGCTGTATTTTTCTGTGGTGAACAGACAAAATGTATACCATGATTTTATACTTTAAGAAATGTTAAAATACGCTAACAGTCCCTTTAATTTTTGTTTTGTAGGCACATGAGAAGGATTGTGGTAGAGCTGAAGTAATAATTGAACCTAAACCTTTACATGCAACTAAATCAGATCCTCTACTTACCTATCTCAGGTTAATTAGTAAATAATGCATAAATTTAGTGGTTTGGGTCCATTTTAAAATTCAGCTCATGAAAATTTCTTTCAGTCTTGCTAAATGTTAATTTCTCTGACAACTATAAACGTGTTTTAAGATCAAAATGGGTTTTTTTCTTTTGTTTTGGTCGATATTTTACCATGTTGATCCGGATCCAAGCAAGGAGCATAGGTCCTTCTCAAATCTGTCCTCGCCATCTATATCATCAACATCTAGATGATCCCTGATCCTGGGTGTCGTCCTTATCCTAATCCTCAGTATTAAGGATCAGGATCAGTAATTAACTTGATCCTTTAAACCACTAAATGTACGGTTTACGTTTTCTGACTTAGCAATACAAAAGTTTCAACCTCTGATGATTTTTTTTCTAATTACATCTATAATAAAGCTTTTCTAATTACATCTATATAATGAAGCTTTTCTAATTACATCTATATAATAAAGCTTTTCTAATTACATCTACATAATAAAGCTTTTCTAATTACATTAATATAATAAAGCTTTTCTAATTACATCAATATAATAAAGCTTTTCTAATTACATCTATATAATAAAGCTTTTCTAATTACATCTACATAATAAAGCTTTTCTAATTACATCTATATAATAAATTTTTTTCTAATTACATTTATAATATAAAGCTTTTCTAATTACATCTATATAATAAAGCTTTTCTAATTACATCTATAAAATAAATTTTTTTTCTAATTACATCTATAATAAAAAGCTTTTCTAATTACATCAATATAATAAAGCTTTTCTAATTACATTTATATAATAAAGCTTTTCGATCATTTATATGTTCGCGGGCCAAACTGCTGGATAAGATTGGATGACATTTCTTGAGGAAAACCCACGGACACTTCAGCTAAAATCATAATTTAAGACCGGGAATAACTAGAAATAATCTGGGCAACGCCGGGCAATTCAGCTAGTTTTACATATTCTGATTCTTATCCTTAGGTTTTCAAATCCAAAATTTATTTATTCCAACAAAAATGCTTTTTTAAATTGACTTATGTCCTGATTGTAGGTTGAAGGCTCGAGGTTCTAAAGTTACTTCATCTCGTAAACTCAGGGATTCAGAGAGACCTAGAGCTTTAAGTTATGAGAAGGTAGGTTAATATTTTCTAAACCATCTTATTTTATTTTATTCTTTTATTTATATTTGTAGAATTGTTGTGCGTATAGTTACATTTAAGAGATGAAAGAAAAATAATTTTCTTGAAATTTTTTTTTTTTCTCAGATGTGGGAAATGTTTTTAAGGTTGTTATCGTTTAATGGAAGAGTTTTCACCCCTCTTTCTTCAAAATCTATACCACTAAAAATAAATCTGAAGATTTTCTTTTAATCTTTCAAATTATTCTCCCTCCCCTCCCCCCACATTTCCCAAACATTATTTAATTTAATTTTGGATTTTGAAGAATTAAGATCTTACTTACTTCCCATTATGTTTAGTTCATGGAAATCGAAGTTTCTTCCCCCCTCGGTATATATATAACAACCAGCTCCAGGCTACATCTAGACCAACAGAATCCCTCCGTCAGGTTCGTATCTTTAAAGGGAGTGTTCGGTAAAATTGAAAGGGGGTAATAAGAACATTTATATAAGTTGGCTCTGTCCTTTTATTAGCTGGTTTGTAATTGTTGTTTCTGATAAAGGTCAAAACTGCTGAAGGCCACTTTTGAAGGACCTTGAGGATGATTGGTCGAAAATTAAAAATGTTTCCTCAAAAAAAATTGGAAATTCAGTAAAGAAAAACGGAAATATCTGAAAAATCTTAAATTGTCGATCTAAAGTGACAATTCACACTAAAGTCACACTTCAGTTTAAATTTTATCTAAAAAGCTAAAATTGTAAAATTGTATTTTATTTGGTTTTCATAGATATAGAATTAGAATTGAATCTCATGATTGTTCTTTTGAATGTATAATCGTAACTCGGGGACTGACTGATTTGCCTCAAATTTTGAATTAGAAACTCGCTTGAACTACTGGAATTTTCATAGCGAAGCGACGTTTACGCTAGATGAATATAATATTGTATTCCAGGGGATATATGAGTGCCCAGGACTATATCCAGCAGCAAGAAACCAAATGTCCAGGTTAGTTTGGTCGTAGTGAAATCTAACCCTAGATGTCCAGAGAGGTTGGAAATTTTGGTTGGGATAGAGCTTCAGAATTATAAGGAATACATATTAAAATAAGCGAAAATCCTCTAATTTTGTATCTGCTGGATTATCGTATCAAATCTATTATTGGTCGAGAGAAGATGTATCCTCTCTTCTGATTGGTCGTCAATGACGACTCGTCATAATACAGGGTTACCCACAGTTAACAGTTCCTGCAACTGTTAACTGTAACTGTAGATGGAAAAAAAACACCGTTTAAAATTCAGTACAATCGTCTATAAAGGCTCATCCTTTGTGGGTAACCATGTATAAATTGCAGTACCTAGAGTTGATTACAAATAAATATGAAACCAAACGGTTTTAAGTTATTTTAATGGGGGAAGGGGAATTAACGCGTTAAGAACCAACTTAGCTTTATTAACCAAAAGTATCCAATTTAAGGTTTCAGCCAAGGAAAACGAAAAGTTTCGATCATTTTGGCGAACGTTTTCGTTAAAATATTTCAGTTTTCGTTCTATTTTTTTCGAAATGTAAACTTTATTTTACTATTTTTTTAAGACATTAAGAGGAAAATTTCGTGCAGCCAACGAAGACGAAAATATTCGTTCATTTTGGTGAAAGTTTTCGTATATTCTAGGTTCCAACATCAAGCACCTTTACTAGATGTGAATTTAAAGAAATGCAGAAAATCACTGATTTTTATATATATATTAGAAATTATGGTTTTCCTGAGATTATCTGCTAGTTTACCTAATCTATAAAATAACATGAAAATGTGAGACACATTCCCCCCCCCCCTCACCCCAACCTCACCAAAAACTCCGTCAGAAATCCTTCAATCTTCTTGATGCGAAATGGAAAAAAATTGATTTTATCGAACAAAAATGAGTTCGAAAATTCGCGAAAATTTTGAAAAAAATTCGCCCAATTTCATTCGTTCATTTCCGCCAATTTCGTTCAACGAAATTTTTTTTGGAAACCCTAATTGTAGAATTAAGTATAAAAGTCTAAGAAATTAAATTTTTTAAATGTTTAGGGACAATCTCAGCCCTGAAGACCTCCAATGCGTATACAGAGAATAGAAATAAATATCCTAATGTTTATAAAACGAACAGGTACATAGGGAATTACATACTTAATCTAGTACTGTCACTAATATCATTTTAGATCTTAAGATTTCGAACAATGTTTTTAGATTGCGGGTAATATAACAAGCCCCTGAATAGATGTGAATAAACTCAATTAAATGCCTGAAAAGTTGCAAGGTTGCAAGCATCAGCGTTGAGCTATGTTTTTTGAGTGCATGTAATTTAACAGACCCATGAAAAGTTGTTAATCATTGCGAGTAAATGGGTCAACACATAGGTCGGGTGCTGGGTGCCCATAGAACACTATATATAACGAAACCTCAATAGGACAGTGACTACGTAAACAAAGTCTATATGGGAGAGACACCATGAGTACAAAGGACAAAGTAATGGGGTTTCAATAAACCACACTACACATGAACAGAGGCAAGAAAATGGCCATAATCCCATGAAGGGATACATTTTGGCGGTTAGGAGCCCCAACCCCTAGTTCTTTGAATGCAGGGCTGTCTTCTGATAATAATAATAACAATAATGATTTATTTATTCAAACTCACCAAACTAATGCAAATATTGGAATAGGTCTATTTTTTGTGGTGACTTACATTGCCTGCGGTAAGGTTGGTTTATGGACAGTTGAAATTGAAAGATTTGCTTAAAAAATGTCTTTTTAATCTTTTTTTTGAAATCCACCAATGTGCAGAAAAATTGGCGATTTTTTTAAATCGTATGTTTAAAGAATAAAGTATTGCTTGAAATCAGCACATTAAAACTATAATTGTATGATTGAAAAGAAAAGACTTAAATTCAATTAGTATTGTTTAGGAAACGGAGTGCAGAGTATGTTCATCTTTACACATTTTCATCATCTTATCTAAGAAAACGAAGATTAATGGATATTAATAATGGACTCAATCAAAAAGCGCTCAGGTATACATTTTTATACACCTTGAAGAGGTTTGAGCGAGAATTGGCACACACACACAGCGCTAGTGATTCATTGGTTGCAGCCTTTAAATATCACAAAACCCGTTGTTTTATTGCGGTTCACTCATTTTCATCTCTTGCCTTCTCATTTCGAGTTGTCTTAACTTTAACTTAGTTTTTTAACGACCCTAGTTTTTTTTACACTTAATTTAAATAGATTTTTCTAATTACAAAAGTAGATTAAAAGAGCGTTTTTTTCTCAAAAAGAGCCGTTTTATATTTGTTAAAGCCAAGACGAGCCAAAATAGTTTGAAATTTGTTATTGTTTCCAGTTCCAGACAGCAAAGCGAAGTTGTCGACGCATTTTTTTATGGAGAATTTTGTTAATCGTTTAACACTCTCTTGTAGAAATGTTATTTTTAATGTTCGTCTTACTTCACGGTAAGCTGTTTCTTTTCAAAATATTTTTTTAATTTTAGACTTTGGAGGAAATGTGAACAAAGAAAATTATTCCTAAGGTAAGTGATTGTAGTTAAATTAATTATTTACCTAGCCTCATAAAGGGAGTGTACGCGTAATTTCAATTAAACCTCCAGGGCTATACAGGATTCACAACATCCTCAAACCCTTTAATTGATCAAGTATGAAATAGATACCAATGTTTAAAAATTTAAAAACTGAAAGTTTTCAATTTTGGTTTCTCTACAAAAGTGACTTGCGCATTTCTACTGCATACATTTGAATTATCAGAAAAACAATTCTGACCTAGAAAAACGACAATATCTTCCAATCTTATTGATCAGTTAAAGGTTCTCAGAAACTTGTTAACTTCATCTACACTAATTATTGACATTCGATGTACATGGAATGTGAGCTTTTTTTATTATGAAATTCAATATGATGTAAGACACCGTGTTGGATATTCAGTGTCAATTGTGCTTGAAAGTATTATCTTAAAATGTTTCTTCAAGTTTCATGAACAAATCTGCACTTCAGTAATATACTTTAAAAAGCTAGATTTCCTGACAATTAAGAAAGGAATGTTTCCAAATGAATGCTGCAAACTATTTCAAAGGTCAAACACGACAAGTCCTTTCTCAATTTTTAAGAAACTCCTCTTTTTTAAGACATTTTAATAACAAAAACATATTTTTAATCCTAAATTATCACTGACAAAGACTAAAAATAATAGGGTTTTAATCTTTTTAATATGTTAAGTTTGAATGTTTTGCCTCGGAAGATGGTTGAGGAGAAAATGCAGATTTACCACGAGGCAACTCAGGTGGAAGCTTCGAACAAGAAGAAGAGAGGAAGGAAGAAGAAGAACTTGGTGGAGGTTGACTTCTTCCCGTTCGAGGATGCCATTCAATCCCAAATAGGTAGTTGTTAATTCATAAATAAGTAGCTGTTTATTCCAAATTACGAAAGTTGTTCAATCCTAAATAGGTAACTATTCAATCCCAAAAGGTTGTAATCTTAATGTCAATCCCCAAAAAAGTTAGTGGATTAATCCCAAATAAGGAATTGCCCAACCTCAGTTAGGAATTCAAGATCATTCCCAATTAAGTAGTTGTCCAATCTCAAAGAGTTAGTTAACCCATCCCAAATAGGTAGCTGTCAAATCCCAATTAAGTAATATTCCAATCCAAAATCGGAAGTCGTCCAATTTTAATATGCAGTGATAGGTAATTAGTAGGTAATTAGTAGGTAATTAGTAGGTAATTAGTAGGTAATTTATAGTAGGTAGTGTTTAATCCTAAATATTCCAGATGGGTACATATTTTCAAATTCTTTTTTATTTTTCCAAAAAGTTGTAGTCTAAATGCCAATCCCAATAAAAGATAGTGTCCAATCCCCAGTTAGGAATTTAGACATTCACAAATATGAAATAATTAGTTGTGCAATCCCAAATAGGTAGTTGTCCGATCCGAAATAAGTAGTTGTCCAATCCCAATAGGTAGTCGTCCAGTTTCATATGTAGTATTCCAATGCTAATAGGTAATTGCCCAATTCTAATAGGAATTTCTTATTCCCAAATAGGTAGATGTTCAAACCAATATAGGTATTTGTGCAATCCTAAAATTGGCAGTTTTCCAATATTCCAAAAAAGTTCACAGTTCTCAAATCTTAAATAGATAGCTTTCCTATACCAACTAAGTAGCTGTCAAATTCCAAATAGGGAGCCGTCAAATTCCAAATAGGTAGCAGTCCAATCCCCAAAAAGGTAGTTTGGATCCGTTCTGTAAAAGAACAGATCCAGATTCAGCTCCTAAATATTTTGCATTTAAAAAAATATATATTTAGAGCAGAAGGAAGCTGCTCCTGGTGAGGAACCTAAATATACAAGTGCTCAGCCCCTGACTCCTGTATTTATCCCTATAGATGATATTACACTCAGTGATAGTGACATAGAAGTTGATTTTCAATCAAAGGTAAATATTTTTATATATTTTAAGAGAAAAGCTAAATATTTATCAAAACTTAAAGAATATTTGGGGTAAAATTGATTAATCAAGGATTGGGTCATTAATTCCTTTCAATCTTGTTTTTTTTTCATTTTTTGTTCTTTCACCATCTTCCATTCCGCATTCGACCTTTCATCCTTCGTTTTATATTTATGTTTACTTTTAAACTCGTTTATTCATTCATGCACCTATTCAATATTCATCCTGTCATTCTTTCTTTTGTCTTTACAGCCTTTCTTTCTTTCTCTTATTCTTTCATTTATTTATCCATGCTTTCTTTCATCCGTTAATTCATCCTTTCATCCTTCCTTTCGGGTCATTCCATGTCAAGTCAGCCACCTGGCATGTCACAGAGTTTGCTGAAATTTTGCATACAATTTGGAATATATGAAAAAAAAATCCCGGAACCCGAAGATGAGTATTCTGAGACATCCGAGGTCGGAGATATGGCTCCGTAAAGTTTCCGATATTTCGGGATTTCGAGGACGGCCTCCTTATTTCAAATGGTTCTAACTTTTTGTTTTTGAAGATAGCTCTAAAAATTTTCAGTTTTTAATAGGTAATCACAAGCTTGTAATTTGGTTTTTAAAGAAAAAAATATCATTAAAATGTTTTTTAACGGTCATAATTGCATTACTTTATTTTCATCCTCCGTTTGAGGATGTGTACCATTTCCGATTGTGTTGATTTTTCTTATATATTTTTACATTGCCAAAAGGAAGGGGTTAGAAAACAGCCATTTAGCAGTGGGGGTATGCGTAATAATTCGACCCAAACCTAAGACAAATATCTGAGGTGTAAAAATAGACCTTTACTGAAATATTTAAAAACTAGCCATACATGCATGCATCCCGAAATATCGGAAACTTTACGAAGCCTCGGAGGTCTCAGAACGCTCATCTTTGGCCCCCAAGAGTTTTTTTCTATCCCAAATTATATGCAAAATTTTAGCTAAATCTGTGACATACCATCCAGCAGGTGGCTGACTTGACATGGAATGACCCTTTCGTCTTTTTATACTTCTTGCATTTATTCATTCACCTTTCCTTTCCTCCATTTATCCATTTATTGATCCTTGTATCTGATGAATGTTTAGTGTACCCCTAGTACAGAATGTAGAGCTGGACCTGGAAATCTGCAGAACAGTTCTAAGGAAATTAATATTCATAGATTTGAGTAACATACTTTTAAACATAATACTCTTGAATTGTCCAATTTTTATCGTATAATTGGGGAAAATAAATAAATTTTAAGTAAATTTCATAGTTTTTGGATACTTTTCAGACTTATTTTATATATTCTAAGTATTTGATACTTCTTATTTAATAAGATTTTTAAGATGAAAAAACTTGTTAGTTTTAACATAGTTGCCCCCTGTTATTGAATCTAAAATTTTGCTTAAAAAGAGCAATACTTTCTAAATGTTCTTTATCTGGGGGAGGGGGGGGGGGAGTTCTTAAAGTGTTCTTAAATTTTTTTCACCTAAAACTATTTTGTTCAACATTTTCAGCAAAAATCTTGTGATACCTTCAAAAATAAGAAGAAAAAATTTATCTTATTAGGAGTTTTATGAATAATTGCCCCAATTTTTGTGGGATTTAAAAAAAATTTCTTTAAAATCTTAAATTTTTTAAAATATCAAAAACATTTTCTTAAAAATCTTAATATTGGAAAATGTTCTCAAGTTTGTTCTTAATTTTTGACGATATTTGTTAAAATCTTAAATTTTCCATAAATCTTAATCATCTCCCCCCCTTGTATGTTATATAAATTTATAAATTGTTTTGATCCTGTTAAATTAATCAGATTTGTCTATTCAAATTCCCAACATTAAGTTTTGACCTGGTTTAGTTTTGCCAAATGATATTTCATGTAGTTAATTTTAAACGAATATTTGATTTGAAGGTTCGGACAATTCAAGTTGGAGTTTATCAACCAATAGACGAAATACATCAAACTGAATACAAGTAAGGAATATGGGATATATGGAACACTTAACATGGGGTACATGGAACATTTAATATGGGATATATGGAACACTTAATATGGGATACATGGAACACTTAATATGGGATATATGGAATATATGGAAGACTTAATATGGAATATATGGAACACTTAATATCGGATATATGAGAATAAGAAACGCCCAATATGTGAATATTGAATACTTAATATGGGATATATGGAACACTTAATATGGGATACATGGAACACTTAATATGGGATTTATGGAACACTTAATATGGGATATATGGAAAATTTAATATGGAATATATGGAACACTAAATATGGAATATATGGAACACTTAATATCGGATATTTAGGAATATGGAACACCTAATATGGGATTATGAAACGCCCAATATGTATATAAGGAATATTTAATATGGGATATATGGAACACTCAATATCGGATATATGGGAATATGGAACACCTAATATGAGATTATGAAACGCCCAATATGTGAATATGTCACGCTCGTCGCTCAATATGGGAATATGAAACGCCTAATATGGGAATATTAAACACTTGATATGGGAAAATGAAACACTTATTATGGGAAAATGAAACACTTAATATGGGAAAAGGAAACACTAAATATGGGAATATGAAACACTTAATATGGGAAAATGAAAGACTTATTATGGGAAAATGAAACACTTATTATGGGAAGGCTAAATTACATTTGCCAATATACGTTTGTCATAACTAGCACTTGCCATAAGTTACACTTGCCATCATTACAATTAATTATAGTTATAATTGACATCCATACATTTTTTTATTGAACAACTACAATTATAACTTTTGTGCCTTTAATTAACAAATCTAGATGAGGGACAGTTCATGAGCAGTAAATTTAAGCTACTGCTCTATTGGAAAAGTATTGTATTGTCATTGATTCTTCACCAAGCTCTTTCTATAATTATTATAGTGTTCAATATCTCTCCCAGTAGCATTGTTAGAAATCTAGATGAGGGACAGTTCATGAGCAGTAAATTTAAGCTACCGCTCTATTGGAAAAGTATTGTATTGTCATTGATTCTTCACCAAGCTCTATCTTCAAGTATTATAGTGTTAAATATCTCTCCCAGTAGCATTGTTAGAAATCTAGATGAGGGACAGTTCATGAGCAGTAAATTTAAGATACCGCTCTATTGGAAAAGTATTGTATTGTCATTGATTCTTCACCAAGCTCTATCTTCAAGTATTATAGTGTTCAATATCTCTCCCAGTAGCATTGTTAGAAATCTAGATGAGGGACAGCTCATGAGCAGTATATAAGGTTAAGATACCGCTCTATTGGAAAAGTATTGTATTGTCATTGATTCTTCACCAAGCTCTATCTTCAAGTATTATAGTGTTCAATATCTCTCCCAGTAGCATTGTTAGAAAACTAAAGTTGGGAATTTCATGTGAAAATTTAGCGCATTTATAGAAAAAATAATTAGATTGATATCTTTGTAAAAGTTAGAAAATTATGGCAAAAGTAATTATGGCAAGTGTAACTTATGGCTAGTGTTACTTAGGGCAAAAGTTTTTATGGGAATTGTAATTATGGCAAAAGTATTATGGCAAATGTAACTGAACCAATTGGAATATGGAACACTCAATATCAGAATATGGAACACTTATGGGGATTTGGAACACTTCATTTTGAAATATGAAACCCACAATATGGGAGTAGGGGGATCACTCTAACTGGAATGGGAAGGGGGTTTACAATTAAATGGTACACTGTATGTGGGAAGAGGGCAATACCAACCTAGTATTAATCAGAATCATATCCATCTATCTTCGACCGCCAATTACTTTTCTTACAATGATTCGATGTATTGCAACACGTTAAAAATAAATAAATTAAAATGCTAAAAATTAAAATATATTGTTTGTAGGCCCACTTTGGTACCCTTGCGTTCAGCCCCCTCCAACACTATAGAATATGTTGATCTGATTTCATCAGATGAAGATTAATCTCACGAGTCCAGACATTCATCATTCAAGCATTCAAGACAGTCCTCATGTCTTGATAGACTTTATGTGTTCCGAATAAAAGTCGGACACAGAAACAGTAATTTTTTACCTTTATCTGAGAAGCTATGTTGAAGATATCGCCGTTAATTACGGCCATTTTATCTTTTCTGGATTTTCAAATTTGCTGTTGTTAAAAACCGGAATTTTTTATTTTGTACCTTAGTTAAGGATTTTAGAATACCAATGTGAATAGTTGATGAAACTCTCAAGAAGATTATCCTAGTGACTTAGACAAGTGCAGGGGATATTAGTTCCAAAACTAACACTTGGCCCATTTCTAACATTGAGTGTTAGAAATGGGCCAAATCTGCAAAGTTATCTTTTTCAAGAGTGAATATCTTTAAATCCAAGACGAGTAGACCAAAATTATATCATATATTTATTTTTAAAAAAATGGCTAAAACTTTATATTGAAACAATAAATGTCAATTTTAAACTAATAATGAGGTGTGAGAATTAGTTTTTGATGATTCTTGATTTCATTTTCGAACATATCCCTATTTTTAAACAATAACTGGATTTAAGCTCTGGTCGCGTTTTCGGAGCATATCCTGGTTTTGGGACAATTACCTGATTTCATATCAATGTCAATTTTTAAGTATTTACGCACTTATGAAACAAAACAAGATTATTTGAGAAGGTAAAATAGAAACAAAATAGAAATAAAAACAAACTGTTCTTATATCTATATATAAATTTGGCTTGTCTGTTTGTCTGTTTG